TTTTTCTTGTACACCTCAGTACCTCTGTGGCTTAGGAATGACAGAAAAACTCACCTTTGTTTTGTTCTCAAGCAGTGATCATTTCATGACAAGTTTTTAAATACTTTACACAATTTGAATAGTTCATGGAACGATAGCTGTAGCAATAGCGGTTTCCTAGGAAATAAACTATCTTCTACAGGTGACCCCCCTAAAATCCAACCTACCCAAACCATTAAGTAGAGATAAAACCAATTTCTTTCTCCTTGTGAACGTCTTCAGCCACCCTTGCCACATGACTACATTGTGGCCAAAATATAGCTAATACTCCCTCGAGGCCAAGTCTGAAACAGGCTGTTCTGGAATCACTGTGAATCTAGTATTTCAGGCTCTTCTGGAACAAAGCTCCATCCAGGCACCGGAATTGCAGTCTCAGCCCTGCCAGAGCTCTAGGTGGACAGAGCAGGACAACAAGACACTTTCTCTGTATTTCTTAGTCCAAATCTCTCAACACAGTCTCCATTTCCTTTTATGGAACTTCTGATAACTGACTGGATCTCCTCTTTTCCTCTCTAAGCAAAGCATTATTCTAAGTTTCCATCTCTGATGTGGGAATTGACTTGGAACAAAATTAATCTTCGTATTACATGATTTGCAATCCCGAGAAAAGTGAAGGTTGGGCATTGCGATGAACATTCAGTAGTAAAAGAGAAAATAGGTGCCATTTTTATGGTAAAGATTGAAGCACGGTCCTGGGCAGAGCCTTAGGATTTAAACAATACAAATGGACAGAACAGAAACATGAACAGGGCGAGAGAATTCAGCATACGGCTTTGCGAAAACATTTTCTATTTCAATTGAGATAGCTTTACTTAAAATACGATTGGCAGTCAACAAGAGAGAATACAGACACAGTTCGGCTTCCACAGAGACTGTAATCCCCCACAAATACGCTATTCTCTACGTACTCATATGTCACATCTGCATACAGCATCTCTGTATCCACAGTGGCAACTAGGAATATGTCCTTCCCTCACAGTGATCATATTATCATCATGAATAATGTACGACCTATAGATTAGAGTAATTTTTTTTTTATGCACATCAGAGAATGAATTTAGCTTGACCATTAAGTTAAACAGTGCTGTTAGGTAAAATAGCAAGCCTTCTTTCAGTCCTTCACTGAGAGGTATAAAACATTGGTGCTTTAAGTGGAAGACTCACTGTATGCATGAGTAGTTTATTAAATCTTTGCTGTAGGCTCTGTAGCTTCCGTAGCCTACTTGGTATAAAAGATGAAATTGGTCAGATTTTTTGACAAGTAAACTTAAGTTTTTAATTAGAGTTAAACTAATTAGTTGTTGGCAATCCAGTACTGCTACAGGTCTTTATCTTTGGGCACTCTATGGCTACTCTGATTCTGCTTGTGAACAGCAATGCAATAGCAGGCAGATTCCAGCAAGGATAATTGACTCTGGTGTGAAGCTTCTTAATAGAACACTTAGAAATAGTTAAAATTCATTTTCTATATTTAGAAAAGTTAAAGAACAGAGCCACAGCAGGTACAAATTGGCACGTCTTATTTAAAGTCACTAGAGCAATAGAGATTTTGACCAGCTAAATACATGATCTCAACATCTGAACATTGAAAGACCGAGCAGTCACGGTAGGTTTTTGCGTCAGAGAAGAGTATCATTTCCCTTCTACTACTTGTAACAAGCTGTGAAAATCGTGTCCCTGTGGATTAGGAAATATTTACCTTATTTCAAAGGGATATCCTTTGTGAGTTATTGTTTGCTAATGAAATAAGATGTGCCCAGTCTGTCCCTCAGTTTAGACTGACAAACTATTGCTGCTGTCTCTGATTTTAAATCATGCATAGTGTATCTTTGCCAACATATGGTAGTGTCTTTCCAAGAAATGCTATGTATGATTCTTCTGGAAGTTACATTACAGTGTCTCTGATATAGAGTTCTCATGGAACAGCAGAGATGACCCAAAGTTATCACACTGACTTTATGTTAGCAATTAGCTAAAACATAGTAGTTTTGAAATAGATACTCCATTGTTCATTTAAAATTTTGAACTAAAGAATTTAGAGCTTGAAAGCCAAAGAGCTTGCAAGCATAATAATGTAAGACAGGTAAAGACCATTAATATAATTATATGTTAAATTTTACTAAAGTGATAATTATTTTTATGTACATATCAATCTTACTTCCATGGACTTGAAAGCAAAAAAGAAAAGAAATCATAGTGAGTCTATTAAAAAGAGGAATGGATTCCCAAGCTGTTATGTGGACTTCCATGGTTTTGTGCTGCTAAGAGAATAGTGTATCAGCACATTAACAAAACCTTTGACTAATGGGCTTCGCTGCGTCTTCTGGAGAAGGTTCAGAAAAGAAGATGGAAAAAAAATTATTTTCCTAATGCATCAGTGATTTCTCAGCAGAGATATCCTCTGGGACTGATTGAACTAATCTTCTACTATTTCAACATACTTCTAGCATAGAAATAATGCCTTTAGCGCTAAGGGGTCTCCAAAAGAGGCCATGCCAATGAAATAGAGCATCTTTTCATTAGTTCTTTATCCCTTGGTTGGTGAACCCAGTTCTATCTGCAGTAGGTACCTCTGCCCACAGAGGTTACACTTGCTCCATGAATGATTAAATGTTGCCCAGATAGTATTGTAAAAAATTTATGGATGATATGTACTAGCAAAGATTTGGAGAATCCAGTCCTGAACATTTAGTTTGTGTAATCTCAGTTTGTACTAAATTACACCTCAATAATGAGCACTCGAAAGAGCTATATAAGTGTTATAAATCAAGTAACAACTTCTTTAATGCAGAATTGGGATTAGTAAGTGTATTTTATAGTGAGGAAGATAACAAACATGACTTAAAATTCTTTTTAGCCCCTGCTATGGTAAAAACCTCACTGGCAGAATGAGGTTTGTATGTAGTTGTAGAGCAAGATACCAGTTTATAGATCTTTGCACACTTTATCAGATTTTTTTTTAAAAAAAATGACTCAATCGTGTGCTGTCATCTCCCCCCTAAATAATCCTGTAGTCCAAATTAATGCACTTTCTGATCTAAATTAATAAATGCTTATTAGCATGTAGTGATTTCTGCCCTCTATCTGCTTTGTGAAGATGCATTTCAAGTAATTTGACACACACAAAGAGCCCCCCCGAATATTAGGCACACTCATGGTTATATATATATACGTAAGTGATTGCAATCATAGCTACCTCAAAGCAGGCTTAGCTGGCAAACTGAGCAGGAAGTGGACCAAATGACCTCCAAAAGCACCTTCTAACTTTAATTACACTATGACTTGAAGTTTCAAGTTTGGATTCTGACCCTCTCAAGCCATCTCTTTTCCAAATAGGGAAACTGGATTTATGTAGAACAGTCTTGGACACAACTTGTGATGCCATTGATGTCAGAAGGGGGAACATCTCAGTGAGATTTTGTATCAGTGTCTGAAACATTAAATTTCAAAAAATTATCCTGCAATCTGAAAATAGGTAAATCTGTGTTTCTTTGCATACCTCCATTACTACATTTGAAAACTTCTAGCAGTCACAAAAACAAAAACAGATTTCGATATGCATTTGGGTATAATCTGAGCTTTATCGCCTTTGTTCTCGACATTAAAAGTACTTGCAGAATTTAGGACATATAATCAGAAGAACTGATCTGAAAGTCTTAAGAAGATGAAACGGGTTTTGTCATTATAACTTTAATTAGTATTAATGGCTTTGCACATCTAAAGCGTTGCTCATCTGGATAGGGATGGACCTCTGATTGTTCTGGCTGGTATGCAGTTTTATACAGATAGACACTTAGACAATTGGATACCTATGCTAACTTACTTATGATCCACTTGGAATTCAGATAAAAGCTGGAATTCAGTGGCCTTTTTCCCTAGTTCCATCAGGTGTGTTCCCTCTCCTCTCCCTGACAGTAATCTCATAATGCATTTGCTGCTTTTTTTGAGATTTGGAGTGCCAAAATGGCTTGAAATGACAGATGGCAAACAAATAGCTACGTCTTTCCTACTAATAATTACCAAGAGGAAATGGAAATTTTAGTGACTGTGGGCTGCTGTTCAGTAAGGTTGCTCTAGATTTGGGACAAGTCCTAGACATACATACTTACTCATCTTATAATCTTGCACTGTCCAGTACACCAGACTGTACTAACTAGCTGTTTGACCTTTGAAGCTTTCTCATCAAATGAATAGTCAGGAACACGTTTCCTTTGTGAAAGAATGTATTTGATTTCCGTTTTCTTTTCCATTCGGAAAAACTATTCAGAGAATGGACGTTTAATTGGTTATAAAACAGGAGTATGGCTTTTTACACATGAAGTTAGGTCTTTTCATTCACTTCGCACAGACTGAAAACATATAATCTAGTGCCTTCTCTTTGCAAAAACTTTATTTAGAAGGGTTTCCATTCCTCCAAGATGGAGAACCTTGCTTCAGTTATGTTCCTTTGAATTGCAATTAGATCTTTGAACTACAGACAGCTGAATAAACAAATTTCCATCACCAATTTAATTATCCTGGCCTGTTTGTGAGTACCAGCAGAATACTATGTAGCACACTGCCAACTAAAACTCTGCTCTTGATTGCTGGTAAACACTATAGGTTCAGGCCTATGCAGTCAGAGGGAGGCAGCTGGGTTGCCTATTCCTGCTCTGCGAAGCTGAAGCTCCCAGGTGCGTATCACTGGCACAGGGTGGGTTAGGTGGTGCCTGGAGGCTGCAGTCAGTGGTACTCGGTATACGTACTAAAGGCACAGATTAAGCTAGCTTCGCTAGTAGCTTCCAAGCTCTATTCAATGCAATGCAAGACTGCTGCTCTCATACATGCTCCGCATTTCTAGTTGCTACAGCCTTATGCGCAGTCTCAGGCTGCTTCAAATTTCACTGTATGTTCAGTACCACCTAAGAGGCAGTCTTATACAGAGGGGCATAGATGTGGCTCTTTCCTTTTAGGCTGTACCCATGGGGAAGAAAGAAGCTAAAGCCTCTTTTGTAGTTAACTTGTACTTGCGCAGTTGGCTTACGGCTCCCAACTGCCCAACACGGGAAAGCCTTCAGGCCGCGCACTCTGGGTAGGAATAAGCAGGATGCAGCAGGGTAGCACTGTAGGGAGGAGTGGGCTCGACCTCAGCTAAGCGAAGATCTGTGTTAACAGAATGGCACGCTCAGGCTCTGGGACTAGTCATTCCTTCACTACTGCACCCATGACCATGGTCAGCTGTGTCTGCTTCCAACCCTGGGTGCCAAGCGTGAGTTCTAGCCCCCATGAGAATCCACTTCTCTGTGCTCTTTCCCACTTCCGTACAGATTCTGGGTGAAACAGGAAAACAATTAAATTTTCTGCTTTTGACCCATTCGTATCCAAACTCCCCTCACTGGCTTAAGACACTTGCATCATTAAGATTTTTCATATCCAGCAGTGTTCAAATTTTGTCACACAGAAGCAGGTCAGGAAAGAAGGGCACTGGCATGTTATGCAAAAAACTTAGTTGCCTAGCACCGTTCAGCTGATTACCATTGCTATTCTGAAATGAAAATATCTGATGATGTCATATTCTAAAGTAGTTTCTACGTTCTCCCCTAGAACTGGAGGCACAGATTTTAAGAAAACAAAACATCCATTAAGGCTAGTCTACACATTTCTGATTTCTAACTTGCCCTTTTTACTGTGCTAAGCAGGTTGCATTATACTAGATCTGCTGTCATACTGCTCAGTAGCAGAAAAAACCAGTAGATAGAGTTTTTATCCTCTCTGGGTTTTTGTTAGCAAAAGTGCAAATGAAAACCATTGGCAAAAATTTGTGCTGAACTTTCCAAACGCACAATAAGCTCAAGTTCATCAGACTGGAGAAAAGCTGTGTGACAGTTTGTTTGAATGAATCCAATTATTGGTCTTGTCAGAAATGTGTTGCATCAAATTGTTCTCTCAAAGAGAAGTAATGCAACTACACTGTGTACATACTAAGTGATATTTTGGTGGAGAGTTGCATAAGCCAAGTGACAATTAGATTTGTTTCATAACAGGTCCCACCTGAGTCAGTGAGGGAAAAAATAGGCATGCCAAAGGTAATAAGCATTGGTGTTCCTTCAAATAGACAGAATATGATCTCAACTGTACAAAAAGGAAATGTTGCTAATGTGTACTGTAACCTCAACTGCTATGTGACATCTTTACTGTAAGTCTCCTTTTTAAAAGCAGGCAATTTTTCAATGTTTTGTACAGTACTATTAAAACCTGAGTTATGTGTGTATTGTCTCCAAAGAGGTTGCCTACAAATTTGTATTTTTCAAGGCTTTCTATTTCTTCATTTTTATTTCTTTAACAGTTCCACCCAAAAGGGAGATGATGATTATGAAGATTACACTTCAAATAAGACTTGGGTTTTGACTCCCAAAGTCCATGAGAGTGATGTCACTCTTATTTTAAATGGCTTGCTGGAAGGATATGACAACAAGTTGAGACCTGACATAGGAGGTGTGTTGGTTTTCTTTTTAGACCACTTTTGATTAAGCGGTGAAGAGAAAGAATTTTCGTACCGTATTATGCTACACAGGAAGCAGAACGCATTCAAAGTAGTTATGAAAACAAAATACAATGTAGTAAAACATCAGTGGCACAAAAAGTAGTCGTGATTTTGGAAGCTGACATAAATTAATATTGCTAAATCTGTCTTGAGACATCTAATTAGACTGTTGTGATTTGCTGAGTCAGGCTGCTTGTCATGATGCACCTGCGTAGGAAGTTTGAAATTTAACTTCTGGGGAATGCAAAAAGTTTTTATCTTCTTTGTATATCTAAGTAAGGGTGTTAGAGAATCATAAATAATATATTGAAAAGGAAGGCCAAAATGAGGACAACGCAGCCTGACTCTTGCATGATGTGATGGACGCAGACACAGCCTTTAACAGCAGCAGGTCTGCATTGACTGACGCGGCATAGGCCCTCACTTGCACAGCAGGGCAAGAAGTGACCAGGGAATGGGGCACAGAGGAAGAGATTCACAAAAGATAACTGCAGTCAAGTAAGGCCAACCTTCCCAGGTTTCCTCCACAGCCAATATAAGTATATAGGCCCAAGCTTGGACTCATAATGGATTCTTATTTGGCCGAGTCACCTTTTGCAGGAATCTTCCTCTCCACTAATTTCTGAGGGACCTTGAAGAGATAAATCTCCCTGAGTTGCTGCAAGTCAGTTTGAGAAGGCCTTATGTGCGCACAGAACAGGCAGACAATACTTCTGTAGAAGAGGATACAACAGTAATAAGATTACAGAATAACGCAAAGAGAATTCATGGATGAACCAGGCAGAGGAAAGCAGAGAGCAGCAAGGTTAATGAAGGAAGCTGTTTCTAACAAGTTTATAGAGGCTTATAAACTACGGAATTTTTCACAGTGAGGGATAACATGAGTATTTAACCTCCAATATATGTATATGGTGCAAATTAGCAGAGGAATTTGTCTTATTCTCCCAATCCAACACTTTAGAGAACATAAAGTAATTAAGCATTCATAAAAGCATCAGGGAAAAAACAATCATGTCTTAGCTAAGGTGTATAAGAATAATAAAGCTACAATAGAGTAATTTCAAAATAAATTAATCTAACAACTGTTTTTCATTCCTGTTTTAGAGCCTTGAGTATTATTTTTGCTTAAGGCTCATGAAATTGTCACCTACAGCCATCTCTGCAAGCAACAGCAGACATGTTGCGTTTGGCATTATAATGTAAAACAAGTGATGCAAGACATCATAAGAATAAGTTTGCTTTCGTTGATAGTGTTTTGTCAGATGTGTTGCTGTGACCTGACACAAAATGTACATACTCTCAGTCAGATATGACTCACTCTAAGGTAACAACACTGGTTTCGTATTTGTTCTCATAGCATAAGTGAATTTGTTCTGATAGAATAAGCAATACAAGAATTTGTCTCAAAGCGTCTCCGACTAATTTCAAACTGGAGACATCGCTGCAAATTTATAATTATTGTATACGCACATTTAAATGTAAGGCAACCATACAAGAGAGGTACTGTAATAATCTTTTGCTTGTGTTTGACTTCCATGTAGTTGATTTTGACCTTCACTCATGTTCCTGATTCTTGTTGTTTCTCTTACAGTTAAACCGACAGTAATTCACACTGACATGTACGTAAATAGCATTGGGCCTGTGAATGCTATCAATATGGTAGGTAAATGATTGCCAATTTTCCTACGATGTTCACTTTGTTACAAAGCCTCCATCATTTTTGACATTACAAAGCTTCCATTAGTTTTAATGTTGTGCTATACCTATATTATTTTTAAAATCCCATCATTATTATTATGGATGTGAGGACTATATGAGCTATGAATTTCTACAAGACAGGGAAACTGACCTCTATGCTGATAAAAATGTAATGATAATAATAATCGTTTTACCGTATCCTCACACTTTTATGTCCCCTACTTCCAAGTGCTTTGTGACAGTTTAACTCCTGTAAAACCGAGCTTCCAGATTGCTACAAAATAAGGAAAACCATTCATCAGTGATATTACCACTCTTGCTGCCAAGAGATAAAAAGAAAAAAAGCCTAGATCCTCTCTCCTCTCCTCTTTCCAAAGTTCCTACAGAAAAATAGAATTATATCTTTGTACAGGTGAGGGACAATGGTCTAGCCTTAGCACAATGTCGACTTCATTCTTGCAGTTTTCATGCGTAGAAATCTCAGATTGCTCTTTTCTATTCTATAAGTCCCTTTGCAGCTTCGGGCAGCCCAGTGGGGCCAGGGAAAGTGAGACTTCACCAATCCAATTCTCATCATAACTGGGGGGCACAGGCGATTAAGGCAGCCAAGTCAGCTGAAATTTTTCCCGTCCTAGATCCAAGGGAAAAAGTAATTGTTCTCTGACCCAATCTGTCGTGGGTTGAAGTGTGGGGACACAGAATTAGAAAGATGCATATGCCACTCAATTGCACCTTAGTTTCACCTGCCAGTAGGAAAATAAGGACATAAATTGTTTTTAAACAACAATCTTTGGTAAACCATGCCCTCAAAAATCGACAAAAAAATTGTTTTAATCATTTCTAGTATCATCTTCTGTAGTTCACATTTTTTTCATATGAAATTAAGGAAAGCATATCAGGAGTTATGTGAAATGCTGAGTGCTGTGTTTTCATCAGTATTTCTGATTAACACAACAGGAATATACAATTGATATATTTTTCGCCCAAACGTGGTATGACAGACGTCTGAAGTTCAACAGCACTATAAAAGTGCTCAGATTAAACAGCAACATGGTTGGGAAGATCTGGATACCAGATACATTTTTCCGAAATTCCAAGAAAGCTGATGCACATTGGATAACAACTCCTAATAGGATGCTCAGGATCTGGAATGACGGCAGAGTGTTGTACACATTGAGGTATTTATACCTGACTTTAATTTCACTTTCGCTAGGGAAAGCCAAAGAGAAAGGTCCTGTGAATTCAGGTCATTTGACATTACCCTGAAGGAAAAAAACATTGTTTTTTCCTATTTACTTATGCATGCAACCCTGAAAAAAGGAAATATTTAGAAGATATCATTTGCATGCAATTTATTTTATATTGGTATACTGGCACAGTAAAGAGTTTTATTTCTTCCTATAGATTGTACCGTCTTGCTCTACAATAGTCACATTCCTATACTAAAATCACTATAAGCATTATTATAGTAATTAATCTCCATTTTCAGGTATGTTTTATTGTTTGCCATTGGTTTGGTATATATTGCGTTTTTCCTTTTTATTGCATTAAACTGATGAATTTGAAATATCCTTAAATTAAGTAGATGGTATAAAAGGTGGTATTATATACATCAAAGACCTCTTAGTCTGAATTGATTACAGTTTAGCCAGATGAAGCTCCACCCTGTAAAAGCATTTCATTCCTTAAATATCTTATGAAAAGAAGGATTATCATTTCAGCATTGGTCATTTAAGGTTTAATCCAAAACTTACAGATATGCCCTGTTCCACCAAAATTTTCATGATTCTGAACTTGATATGCTCATCTCCAGATTTCTCTGTTGCGCGTGTAACTTTTCTTTTCAGACTGATTACCTTTAAAAACTCTTTTCAATAATTAAGTTATGTGCATGCCTACATTTAAGCGTAACATATGCAATATGTAACAACTCAAATATCATGTTCCCAATGACCATATGATACTTTCTAAATGTGAAAATCCTAAGTGCATTTTTTTTCTTTTTCTTACATGTGACATAATATTTGATTCTATGTAAAATACAGATGAAGACAGCGTTTGTTCAAGACAATTTATACTTTGAGTACAGAATCAAAGATATTAGACATAAGACCATAAGTTTTAGACTGCATTTTTTTCAAAGTGTTTCTTCTCTTTTTGTTTTATTGGGTGCCAAAACCAAAGTTTTGAAGAACAGTATGCTCATTATAATTTTAATGAATAGATCTGAAGCTTTGGTTAAGACAACCTTTTAATGTTGCAACTGCCTGAATTACAAAAAGGAGTTTTATTTCATAGTTATTTTACATTCATTACACAGTGCATCGCCAGAAGAGATAAGAGCGTGATCGGAATTGAAATCCAGTGCAAATCAAAGTCAGTCTGATAAAGAAGATCCTAGGTCCACTTTTGAAATGTTAAATTTGGACTTAGCTACACTACTGGCTCTTTGGATTTTGTTACCTTTCTCCTTAAACCCCTCGGCTTCTCCAGTTAGAAAGAGATATATTGGATAGAATTTAGAAACTGTTATCTGTTATTAATGTATCCTTAGTTCTAACGAGTGACAGCAAACACCAGTAAGGATTCAACCTGGATAAATCCAGAAGTGAAATGTAATAGTATCATCACAGATCTGGGATTCTGTCCTGAAGAGACAAGGGCTCGAGAAGAGCTGGCTGATTTTCTCAATCACCTCCCCCCAAGCTCAAGAACCAGCAGGCAATCAAGCAAAGTTAGCAGGCAATCCTCATGGATCAACACAAAGCTCCTGACAAAACTCAAACGGGAAAAGAAAATGTACTAGAGGTGGAAGTAGGGATGGGTGACCCAGGAGGAATACAGAGATGCTGTCTAAGGACTCAGGGACAGTGTTAGAAAAGCCAAAGTTCATCTGGAGCTGAATCTGACTGGGGACATGAAAGCAAGAAGGGTTTCTACATGTACATCCTCAGCAAAAGGAAGACCAGTGAAACTGTGGGTGCACAGCTGAACAGGAATGGGGACCTTGTCACAAAGGACACCAAGGTATACAATGCCTTCTTTGCCTCAGTCTTTACTGGTAAAATCCTGCCTTCAGCAATCCTAGGTTCCTGAGCCCAGGAGGAAAGCGGAGCAAGGAAGACTTACCTTTGGTGGAGGAGGATCGGGTATGGGCTAAGTAAGTGGACATTGAGGTGGACTGAATATGCCTGAACTGCCAGTCTCAAAGGATTGGGATCAGTGGCATGAAGGCCAACTGGAAAGCAGTCACTTGTGGTGTACTGCCCAATTTTGCACTAGGCCAATACAGTTTAACATAGTCACATCTTCATTAATGACCTGGACAATGGGGCAGAGTGCACCCTCAGCACGTCTGCAGATAATACAAAACTGAGAGGAGTGATTGGTATGTCATAGGGTCGTGCTACCACTCAGGGACTGCAATATGCTGGAGAAATGGGCCAACAGGAATCTCATGGAGTTCAACAAAGGAAGATGCTGTCCTGAACCAGGGGAGGAATAACCCCATGCATCAGTACAGGGTGGGTGCTGACAAGCTGAGAAGCACCTCGCAGACAAAGGCCTGGGGATCCTGGTGGGTGTTTGCCATGAGCCAGCAAAGTGCCTTTGAAGCAAAGCCAAACAGCATCCTGGACTGCATCAGGAAGCCAGCAGGTCAATGGAGATGATCCTTCTCCTCTGCCCAGTACTAGCGAGACACACCTGGAGTGCTGTGTCCAGCACTAGGCTCCCCAGTACAAAAGGGATATAAGCTTACTGGAGCAAGTGTAGTGAAGGCCCACTAAGATGCTGAAGGGATGGGAGCATCTGATGTGCAGGGAGAGGTCTGTTCAGCCTAGAGAAGAGAAGGCTTGGGGGATCTTACCAATGTGTGTAATGTGGGTGGGGGTAAAGAAGGCAGAGATGTAATCTTCTCAGTGGTATACAGTTATAGGACAGGAGGCAATGGGGACAAACTGAAGAACAGAAAATTCTGTTTAAACATAAGAAGAAACTTTTTATACTGTGAAAATTGTCAAAGAGTGGAACAGGTTGTCCAGAAAGCTCCATGCTTGGAGATATTCAAAGCCTGGATTGTGCTTTGTGCTAGGGAATGAAACCTACTCAAACTCCAGAAGAGAAAACAAATAGAAACCAGCAGTAAATCTGAGCCTATCAAACAGCATGAAATAAATTCATCAGAGAAAAGGCAATATCAAAGAAAGAACTTAATCATTCTTTGGATCCATATTATGATTATTTTGAAATGAAACTGAAGATGATGGAAATGAGAAGAGAAAGAAAGAGCAATAATATTAGCACACAGAATCAACTCTCCTTCTGTGTCACAAAGAGAACTTCCCTTAGTTTCAAAGGAAGTTAGATTTGTGCCAAAATCCCTAACACAGAGGAGTTGCCTCTTGACTTCATTAACTTGGTGGCTAGTGGTCACAGCATCCCTCCACATCCCACAGCATGAGACCTAGAGAGTCATTTGCACGCAGCATTGACATGCAGGAGTCTGGAAACAAACCCAGCTCACTGGGTTGCTCATTTGGACACCCAGGAATCAGCAAAGACCAAAACCATACAGCTTTCCTAGAGACTCACAGAACAAATAAACATCACTCAGCTCTTTTTTCCCCCTCCTTTTCCTTTTCCTTTTCCTTTTCCTTTTCCTTTTCCTTTTCCTTTTCCTTTTCCTTTTCCTTTTCCTTTTCCTTTTCCTTTTCCCTTTTCCTTTTCCTTTTCCCTTTCCCTTTCCCTTTCCTTTTCCTTTTCCTTTTCCCTTTCCTTTTCCCTTTCCTTTTCCCTTTCCTTTTCCTTTTCCCCTCTCTCACCCCACCTCCACCCTCCTTTCCAAAGTCCAAGTATCATGCTGCTCATGGCAGGGCCGGGGCTACATATATGCTAGCAACAGTTAAGGGACTGCACGAAAAATGGTAGAGTTTTTAGGAGGCACATCAGGGGATACAACTAATCTAATTTTGGATTTCTAAAAGTACACGTCTCTGCCTGATCTATATCACCTATACCACCAGAGTTATCATGGAGACTGTCCTGATATTCAGTGGAGAGAAACACCTTTCAGTTCATTTTTCTTCTGATTTAATTTAAATGTCCTTTTTTGCATGAAATGAAGTATATCCTCAGAGCGCCTTTGCACTAGCTATGAAGGAAGTCTAGATGGCTGTCTTGGATGTAGATGTCTAAATTTGGACTCCTGTCCATCATCTCTGAAATAGCATTTTTGTCACATAAAATACATTTCCCTAGTGCATTATGGCATGTTGTGACACAGAGATTTGTCACTGCTCATGAGATGACCTGTATAACTACTTGTGGATTTGCCAGTCATGAGTGATGCTGCCATTTCAGATGCATAGCAACTGAACTTTAATACCTTATTGTATTACACAGTCCAGGAGGTAGATGGTCAGGGCCTATATAACCGAAAAAGAAACACTGCTTATCAGTAACCACAATGTCTTCCTATGCTTGGAATATCCAAATTGATACATACATGTCAATAGTTTACTTTTGCTTTGTCTATATATTTATTATATATTTGCAGATTTCATAGCCAGGTTCCAGACTAGTAAGAATCTCGTTTTACTTGCCATGATGTAACTTTCAGGAAAAATTTCTCAAGTACGTTCTGTATATCCCGATCTCTTTCTCCTCAGGCTGACAATCGATGCTGAGTGTCAGCTACAGTTACACAACTTCCCAATGGATGCCCATTCCTGCCCCCTGGAATTTTCAAGCTGTAAGTAACATGCTTAGAAATATCCCTTTTCTGACCCCCACTGAACTACTAACTATAAATTTATATTTACATACTTAGAGTCAGCGAGGGTTATGATTTTATGTAGAACCATAGTCCAATGGTTTTCAGTTTTATTTTGACCTCATTTTCAAGTACATGAATCATATATGTTCACAAATGTAACTGAGGAATGCTATATAAAAATTGATACAATTTCTGGGACCTCCAAGATTAATTTATGCTGATATCTTAGCATAACAGTAGAAATTTTTACTTTCAGCATCAAAGTATCAAGGCCTGATACTTTCTGCACATGAGTGTTTTACTGTTGCAATAGTTGGAGTCCAGAGTTTGACATTTTGCAGTCAGGTCAAGGTGTGAGTTCCTGGTCCAGCTGCAGGGCATAATTGAAGGATGGGCAAAATTGCATCCTGTTGGGTCCACAAAAGTGGAAAACTAATTTTTGAAAAATTTATCTCAAGCGCTATTTTAATTTATAATAAATAAAATAAAAGGCAACATTAAATAAAAGGTGTTGCTAAGTAACTTGAGAAAAGCATATCTATAATTTACTTGCAATATGCTCCAGTTTTTCTAGAAATAGAAAACAGTATTTTTACTCCCCAAAGTACACTAAAATCCTAGCAATCACTATGAAACAAAAAATTCTGTATTTTCCATTGCAATAAGATGGCTACCCAAGAGAAGAGATCATTTACCAATGGAAGCGCAGCTCAGTGGAAGTGGGAGACACCAGGTCCTGGAGGCTTTACCAGTTCTCCTTTACAGGATTAAGAAATACAACTGAGGTGGTGAAGACTACTTCAGGTAAGACAACTGGTCTATTTACCTTCAGATTCATTCAGGATTTTATTAACAGAAAGAAAAAAAGAAAGATATCTCTGCTTAGAACTTAGCATTGGCACTTCACTGAACAATTACAGACTTCTAAATACCTATGGAACCATCCCGGCTTTGGTATTTCTGAAAAGCTCTTTGCAGGAAGAAAAATAAGTTGTTGTCTACTGTCCATTTTTGTCCTCCAAGAAATACCTAGAGCTGTCAGGAGAAAGACACTACTACAAAGTGGGTTTGGGTGAGGGAATTTCCTCCTCTGCTTCAGTGTAGAAAGCAGCACAGCTGAGCCACTAAACGATACTCTGATACTGAATTGAATATTATACAATCCCATTCCAACTTCCAGAAGCAGAAAGTAGGCCTGCACAGAAATTAAATTCAAAGTCCCAACTTCTTACTACAGCACCTCCGTTTATTTCATTCTTTAAAACAGGGCACATTCCATTCTCATTAAAGAGAACCTTACAAATCAGAATCTCAGATGATTTTCCTGCATATTTCTATCTCCTTGGAAACAAGTAATGGAATTTAAAATGATAAATGAGGAAGTACTCAGCGATATATATAGCAAATATACTATATTTGCTATATAAATAGCAATTTTAACCCTACTAACTAAGCAGGAAAATACATTCTTTTATGTATATACATACCTATTGTTTTATTTCTCAGTGGAAAGAAAATCAGTGAATATGAGAAAGGATGTAAAGAGGAATTGCATATTAATATTCTTGTATGTGCATGAGACCCCTTGTCTTTGATTTCTTACTTTCAAAAAGAACTGGGAAATGAAAGCAGTTTTTCTCTTCGGGTTGCTTTTGATTGGTACCTTATCTTATGCTTCTGGCAAATATATTGATTTAAATTCAGACATCTGTGTTAATTCTGACTTCAGAAGTATCCCCCATCCGTTTTAGTTCTAAAAGGTCAGCATTGCTGTTATATGCAAAAGGAGAGAGATACACTAGAGTTGAGAGGAGCCTGCTGTGCATTACACTGGAGTGCACACAAAGAGGTTGAGACTGAATTCTAAGTTCCAACTCCTGAATCGCTGGACATTAAGCACCAATGACATGTTTAGTCTTATGAGCAGGACAAAAATGGAATGAAGCCTCCCAGCTGTAGCCACATTTGCCTCATGGCATCTTCTGCCATTTTAGCCAAGGAAGATATTTAGTCAGCTATTCAAGAAAGCATTTGACCTTTCTCATTTTCCTAGGAAAATAAAAATAAAGGTGCAAAAGAGGACAAGAGAGCAGCATGCATGCAAGCCACAGCTGCTAATAACCACCATTACACACGACACGGTGGAATTGCTCTCAAAGCAAAAATAAACAGCGATACATTTCACCTCAGCACAAAAGGCAGCAGCATACCCAAGTGTGGTCTAAGGTCTCATCCTGCCCAGGTTCAAAACTAACTTTATTTCTGCCTTAATTCAAGCCTCTTTTATTTGCGCTTTTTCTTCCTCCTTTTCTGCTTAAGCCATTCTCTAATAAGTTATTTTCTTGGCCAGAGATAGAAAGTAATAAACTCTTAACATGCTACAAGCTTCAGATCCACTGATTCAGTGCATCTCGCACTGGTGAATCGAAAGTACTCTCTAATGTTCTGCTACTATGAAGAAAGTTTCCCCACACTGGGAAACAAACAGTAAAACACAGAAAGCAAAATATACTTTCCCATGCAAAGAAAACCTTTGCTTTTTTTTCAGGGGATAGCCATTCAAGCTTGTAGTACCCACCTGGCATACTACCATAATGTTGCATCAGTAGTTTTTAATATGACGACACACACCAGCCCTTTTAACTTGCTTTAAAAAAAAAAAAAAAAGTAATTAGCAGCTAGCATACACTTCAAAGCAGCAAAGAGTCACTCTAGTCATCACTCAATTCCTAAGAAGAAAAGCTCGTGAAAGCTACTCAGCCTGCTGAGCTGCTTTCAAAGACCTGCGGAGTATAAACACTTGGAAAAATGTCCTGTGTGTGTATTTCTTTTGCTGCAGTTATCTTATGTTGGATTTTCTTTCCTCCTCTTGTTTTTATGACCACAGATACGTAAGAAAATTAGATTTGATTTTGATCTAGATGCAGTATCTAAATAATTAAAAGGTTGAAAAAAAACTCCAAACCAAACAACAAAATAGGGATTGTCACAAATCTGGTCTATCTCCTACAAATATTTTGCTAAAGCTGGCAGAGCCTAAAGGCCATTCATTCCTTGCCTACGTGCCTTATTAGCATGCTGGAGGCTACATTAAGTCCAGTATTCCTCAGCCAGATCCATACTCTACCTATGATTACTCTTACATGCACACATTTTCAACAGTTTCTCCAAAAGAAAAGACAAGAAAAATATTCTAGGCTTACAGATGTGTTAGCAATCCATGTGCAGCCTGAATAAACAAGTCTGAAATGTACAAATATAAGTTTGTACCAGTACAAAAGTTTGAATGCCCATATAGCCAAAATAAGTCTTGAGACTTTATGCAACCAATTGCGTATAATAGAATTTAGGTACAAAGTGATGACAGCACTACTGCCAATGCTTCAGTGGGGATACGAGCTGAGGTACAGTGGAGGAGGCAATTAAAAGATTACTGAGAAGTTAGAAGGAGGACTATACTATACTTCCAAGAACTCTTCCCCAGAACTAAATTTAGATGACAACAGAAACCAGAGAAACCTGAACACAAGAAGGGGGAACTAGAGAACATGAGATTGAACAGTTACAGAACAGAAGGAGCCTGGGACTAGTGTTAAGGCATTTGAAAGTGGAGTAAACTTTCTGTATCTGCATTTACTCCATTTCAAAACAAACCCTTGTTTTGTCTTCATGCCTCACAGTGACTAACACATTCTAGTCCTCAAGGGCTATGCTTGCTTGGTGACTGGAGCAGAGAAGAGAATCAGAAAGGATGGCTGAGACTTGCTCATTACAAACTCTGTTACCTCTCTTTCTGTCATAGCTAAGCATTTGAGATCTGGGCTGAGTTATAGGCAGAGAAGGACAAGGATTGTTTGAGTGTAAGCTTCATAAGATCTGACGGACTTGCTGAAGTGACTACATTTATCTTCTGCTCTTCCTTTGCATGTGCTGCAGAAATATAAGATTACGTGAAAGGCCAGATGTCAGAATTCTGTCCCTGATCAGTTAGCAAATCACGATAACAGCAGAAAAAAGCAGCTGGAACATTACAAACCATCCTGTCTGTTTCTCTGAAGTGAGTCATCCTGAATTGTCAGCTTGTTTCTCTCCAAACTGAACATTCACACGTGACACTCATTTTCTTTAAAAGCCCCAGACCAAGGAATAAGAAATGGCTTAGTTAATGGAATCCACTGTCCATTAATGGGGGGGACTGTTAAAAAAAGTTAACTCCTAACCTTCTGCCCTATGACTATTTTGTTAAAATGACTAAATAGTCTGTATACTTAATAATATATTACCGGTGTATATTTTTTGCTTTTTCACTGCAACCAATGCTGTGTAAACAGCAGTGGTTTAGTTCAGATTATTTGCAATAAAGTGCATGTTAAAACATAATATCACCTGAGCTATATCAACTACTATAGTTGACCTCACACGCTTATAAACTAAGATGGGTTTAAGATTTTTTGTATTACTGATGTATGTTCATAATCACTGCTCAAACAGTGCATATCTTGTCACTTATTAAGAAACTACCATTTCTCTTGTGTGACCTTTTTGCTTATAGTATAAGGCCCCATCCACTGAACGGTAGTGAGATTCTCCGATAAAAAAAAGGGATGAACTAATAGAAAAGCCGAGACAATAAAAATTCACCAAATTCTGAAATTTGGATGGACGTTGCCATGAGTACACCTTACAAAGAGTCCATACATCAGATTTAGAAAATCCTATCTCAAACCTAATGCTGAGGTTGCGTAGTAAAGCCAGGTGCTTTACTGACATGTTCAGAGTTCATGTTATTACTTACAATGTCTTTAGTTATTAAAGGGTGTGTGATTGATTAGACATATGGTATACATGGGACAAATGTAAAACTAGCTGGCAAATGTGGCAGAAAGTGGACACAGCACAAAAAGAAAAGGAGTTGTATCATACAATAAGCAGCAATGATAAAGTGAATAAAAAGTAACAGCTGTAGCACAGGACATGCTTTTCCGTCCTCTATATTCTCATTTAGCATTGCACAATACACTTAACTCAAATGATTGTCAGTTCTTTTTTTCTTCAAGAACAATTCTGTATCTAATTTCTGACCTTTTATATTCACTGTGGATTAAAAATAAGAAACAAATGAGGTGAGAAAATAGTCCAGCAAGTCCACCACTTGTGAATCACATCAGCAAATGCAGATATTCTTCACTTTTTGGAGCTCACACTGAAAATATTATAGAGCTTGGCTAGAATCACGTTATAGAATAGGCGTCTATTGCTTTGGAGGGACTTCAAGCAATTTTTTCTAGAGAACCCTCTCTACTCAGATTTGACTAGCTAGAAAGATAAGCTTTAATTTTTCTGATTGTTACTGCAATGCAACAAGTGATACAGAAGCATAAGATTTGCAAAATATAATGCACAAGTGGATGACACCGATCAGGGACGTGTTGTACTTTGGGAACAGAAAAAAAGAAAAATTCCAAAATTTGTAATTAGTTACTTTAAATAAAGAGTAAAAGACTGTAGGAAGGAAATAATCAAATGTACCAATATGAAAAGATCTGTAGTTGTGTAAAAAAAAAATCCAGTGTCTGCAGCGGTTCACAAACACACAAGTATAGAGAATGTGATACTATTGCAAAAAACCACTTTTTCTGGGGAGCATTACTCAGAGTGTTGTGTGTAAACTTTGGAGAAATATTCACTGTTCCACTCTGTGAAAAAACGATGACAAACAGTTGCTGCATTCTGCTTGATTAAAAAAAAAAAAAAAGCTCACTTTTAAGTGCAACTTTTTAACAGGGGAGTGCAAAACAGTGTAG